CTTCTTCCTTTTTTTTTGTCTCTTCCTATTTTTTTGCTCAGCTTAGCCTTGCAAACAGCAACTCTTCAGTGCTGCCTGACTCTAGTTCCAGGTCTTACTGGGTCAGATGAACACAGTTTTGCTCTGTGAATTTGAGAAATCCAAGAGACACTGAGTGCCTATTAGAGGACGTATCTTTCTTTTTTATTCACTGAGGTTAGAGCCGCCAGCATTTGAAATCCAGGATCCTCTTTTCATATTCTGTTTTTGTGTGTGTGTTTGTTTTTGTTTTGTTTTTGGGGGGTCTGGTTGTGGGGCCTAAACTCTGGGCCTGGGCACTGTCCCTCAGCTCTTCAGGTCAAGGCTAGCGCTCTACCACTTGAGCCACAGCGCCACTTCCAGCTTTTTTCTTTTTGCTTATGCGGTGCTGAGGAATCGAACCCAGAGCCCTAGGCATGCAAGGCAAGCACTCTACCACTGAGCCACCTTTCCAGCCCCTTTTTGTGTGTGTTGTTGTTTGCTTTTGTGTGTGTATGGGGGGGGGGTCTCATTTGGTAGCTCGGGCTGGCCTTGACCTTATAATCATCCTTCCCAACCTTCCAAGTAGCCCAGCTGGCTGCTGTCTTCATTTTGGAGCTATGTTCTATAGATCTTTATAATTGGAGGGGAAAAAGTCTTAAATAAACGTACACCATAGAAAGGCTTCTTAGCTGAATCCTAGCTACTCAGAAGGCTGAGGTCTGACAAGCACAGTTCAGAGCGAGCCTGGGAGGTGAGACTCTTATCTCCAATTAACTATCAAAAAGCCAGAAGTGGAGCTATGGCTCAAGCAGTAGAGCACTAGGCTTGGGACAGTACCCAGGCCCTGAGTTCAAGCCCCAGAAGTCCTTTACTATTCCTCTCCCAAAGCTTCTGGATATAATCAAAGAAGGCCTGTAAGATGTCCCAGGGGGAAGGGTAAACATGTCTAGCTTGATTCATTGGTTAGTTCTGAAATAATTATTTCCAAAATGAGGGCTAAGGAATGGTTGCTAGGCATGTAAACATCAACTCTGCCTTTGGCTAGAGTAAAAAGCAGGTAGGGAAAGCTGGGCCTTCTTAGTCACAATAGCTACAAAGCTTAGCACACTCCATGCTAGGTAAACAAATCAAAGTAACTACTACGTAGAAGGAAAGGCATCCTCTCATAAGACAAGATAACCATTTTGTTAAAGATCTGTAAGGATTTTTTTTTTTTTGGTTGTGGGACTTGAACTCTGGGCCTGGGCACTGACCCTCAGCTCTTCAATTCAAGGCTAGCACTCTACCACTTGAGCCACAGCACCACTTCTGGTTTTCTGGTGGTTTATTGGAGATAAGAGCCTCATGGACTTTCCTGCCGTGTCTGGCTTTGAGCTGTGATCCTTAGATCTCAACCCCTGAGTAGCTAGGATTACAGGTCTGAGCCAACAGCACCTGGCTTCCTGTAAGGATTTTTAAAATACCAGAACTTGAGAAAGGGAGAAATTAGCCTAAGGATAAGGTAAATTTGTTGAAAGAAAAAAAAAAGCTATGGCTTTCAATAATTCACATACTATGTGAATTATTGGGCTGAATACAGAGTTATTACAAAAGTTTCTATTTTGGCTTGTGTCTCTACTTCTTAATATAGTAACATCATTAATGTCTGTCTCCTCAGCCTGTGTGACTCTGAGCCTATGTTTACTCTCCAGCTGGAAATGGTATTATAAACAGATTCTGTTGCCCTAATTACGTTATATATCTGTACATGGAATGCTTTGTTAGGCTGCAAATATTTTAATATTCATTCTGAGTCCCAAGGCTTTGCCAAACAAGATACTAAAAATTGCTTTTGATTGTTTGGAAATAATCACCTAGTATTTAAGCCAAGGGCTGGGAAGGTGGCTCAGTGGTAGAGTGCTTGCCTCTCATGCATGAAACCCTGGATTCGATTCCTCAGCACCACATAAAGCCGGAGGTGGGTACTGTGGCTCAAGTGGTAGAGTACTAGCCTTGAGCTGAAGAGCTGAGGCACAGCGCCCAGGCCCAGAGTTCAGGCCCCACAACTGACAAAAATTAAAAATAAAAAAAAAAGAGAATTATCTAACTGAAAAATTGCTGTATACTGCAGAGGATATAAAGAATTCTAGCTAAGTACCTGTGGCTCGTGCTTATAACTCTAGCTACTTAGAAGGTAGAGATTTGGAAGGTTGTAGTTTGAAGCTTGGGAAAGTCTGTGAGTCTCCATCTCCAAAATAACCAGAAAAAATAGGACTATAGGTGTAGCTCAAGTGGTAGACCATCAGCTTAGCAATCATAAGGCTGCAAGTTCAAATCCTAGTACAACCCATTCATCAATCTTTTTCCCTTTTAGTTTTTCTCTTGCCAGTCCTGAGGCTTGAACTCAGGGCCTGGGCACTGTCCCTGGGCTTCTTTTGCTCAAGGCTAGCACTCTACCACTTAAGCCACAGCACCACTTCTGGTCTTTTCTGTTTAGGAGGTACTGAGGAATCGAACCCAGGGCTTCACGCATGCTAGGCAAGCACTCTACCACTAAGCCACATTCCCAGCCCTTTATTTTCTTTTTCTATTTGGCCGAAGAATCTGGTTGGTTAGCTGGGCGCCAGTGGCTCATGCCTGTAATCCTAGCTACTCAGGAGGCTGAGATCTGAGGATCTCGGTTCAAAGCCAGCCCGGGGAAGGAAAGTCCATGAGACTCTTATCTCCAATAAACCACTAGAAAACCGGAAGTGGCGCTGTGGCTCAAGTGGTAGAGCACACGCCTTGAGCTAAAGCGCCCAGGGACAGCGCCCAGGCCCAGAGTTCAAGCCCCAGGACCGACCAAAAAAAAAAGAATCTGGTTGGTTAGGCCAAGAGTTTACTTGTGGGAAGTGCATAGATAATTTAGTAAGGTAGAAAGAAAAATCCCAAATAGACTTGAGCTGGAGAAGTGGCATCTGGGTGGGCTGGAGGGTAGCTTTCATTTTTGTTCCCTTGTGTGGTGGCCTGTAAGTTTCATTAGTAGCAGGGGAGAGGCATTTTAAAAGGCGGGAGAGCGCATGTTTTGAAGGACATTCTTCCTTTACTGGATGGGGTAGACATATAGTTTCCACTGTGACTTAATGCTGGGGCGAGTAGAGCCACCGAGTGGTGTTTACATAGAGTCAGTAATTTTGAAAGTCATTTTTAAAAGGCTGTTTTAAAATGCATGAAGCTATTTGCCATTCAAAAATAAGCCATAAGGCCTGGCTCCCGTGCCTTATTCCTGTAATCCTAGCTACTCCAGAGGCTGAGATGGGAGGATCTACCCATGGGCAGGAAATTCAGACTCTTACCACCAATCAACCACCCAAAAGCCAGAAACGGAAGCATGGCTCAAGTGGTAAAGTGCCAGCTTTGAGTGAAACAGCAAAAGGAGAGTTGCCCAGGCTCTGCATTCAAGTCCCAGGACTGGCACACACATGCACACGTGCACACACGTGCATGCACACACACATACACCATACACACACGGTGAAAAAATGGAAAATTGAAGGTGAAAAACTTCTGAGTCACAGACTTTGGAATTCCTTCAATGAAATGCTGTTTGTAAACACTCATCTACTCGGTTCATAAACACTGGGTCATGTCCTGGGGCGGTGAGACTCTGCACTTTGGATCTTCTATCTGCACATCATTTGTGGTCTTGATCAAGCCTGTTGCTGTGAAGCCTCAGATGTCATCCAAACCTGCGAGTATGGCTCAAGAGTTGTTCATCTGGCCCCAACAGTTACAGCCAAACCAGAGCAGATGCTGGAATTGCGAGGTGAGGATTCCTTTCAAAGTCAAAGCACCTCCTGGACCGCCCCTACCCCCCTCCCTGAAACCTTTGCAACTTCACATCACCTTGGAGACCAAAACTCCTCCTCCTGGAAGCTCCTCTTTTGGAAACCGATGGGGTGGGGCCAGAAAGCATGAAAGAGGGTTTCTTTTATTTTACATTTTGCCATTTGAGACTTGCAGAACAGAGGTTATGTTATGTGCCGTGGGTGGTTCTGGAACAGCCAGGCTGGGGAACATAGCCCTGAGCTACCCTGAAGAAAGCAGCCGCAGGATGCCAGTCGCCTGCCCTTTCACACCGGCTTTCACAGTGTGAATTCTCTGAACGGTAATAACAAGGATGGGAGTGGGAAGAAACACAGGAAATGAAAGAAGAGAGATCCGGGAAGCTAAATCTGCAGGGGGGGGGGCGAGAAGAGTCAGCAGAGTTTTGGCAAAATGGGAGGAGATAGATGAAAATTAGGAGCAGAGGGAGGAGGAAAAGGCTGGGCTTAAGCAACCTGCTACTGGGATTTTTAGACAAAGGAGGCTGGAGAGGGGCGTGATTGGTTTCTAATATCAGCTGGAAGAGCAAGCTAGTGAGCCGGGAGGGGGTGTGTGTGATTGGTTTCTAATATCAGCTGGGACAGCGAAAGAGCAAGAGAGAGGGAGGGAGGGGAGAGAGCGAGAGAGAGGGACAGGGACGGGGACTGGGAGAGGGAGAGAGAGCGAGAGAGAACTCAGACTATGGACACTACAACACGTCTTTCTGGGCAGCAATCACTGGAGTATGTACCACAGTAAGAATTGGGAAGAAAGAGAAAAAATAAGTCTGGGAACAGATTTGCACATCTGGGTGGACTTGGCTCTCTCGTTCTTCTTTGAGGCATGCCTTTATCCGTGCGGTCCCTATTTATAGTTTCTGTCTCTGCTGTCATTGTTTTTATCGTGTTCTATGTGTTCAGCTTTGGGGGAGATCAAAGCTACCAGAGGTTAAATATTTCTGATGCTAGGATTCTGACTCAAGTTTGCACATCCTTTATCAATGGGAAAACTCCTTTCCTGTGGAGAAATAAGCTCATGATCTATGAGAAATCTTCTTGCAAGGAATACTCGACTCACAGCCACTATATCACAGCTCCTTTATCTCAAGAAGAAGTTGAATTTCCTTTGGCGTACATCATGGTCATCCATCATAATTTTGACACCTTTGCAAGACTCTTCAGATCCATCTACATGCCCCAAAATGTCTACTGCATTCACGTGGATGAAAAGGCCACGGTTGAATTCAAAGAAGCCGTGGGACAGTTAGTCAGCTGCTTCCCAAATGCGTTTCTGGCTTCCAAGATGGAACCCGTGGTCTATGGTGGGATCTCCAGGCTCCAGGCTGACCTGAACTGCTTGAAGGATCTGGTGGCCACTGAGGTCCCCTGGAAGTACCTCCTCAACACCTGTGGGCAAGATTTCCCCCTGAAGACCAACAGGGAAATCGTGCAGTATCTGAAAGGACTTAAAGGGAAGAATCTCACCCCAGGGGTGCTGCCCCCAGCCCACGCCGTCGGGAGGACTAAGTTTGTCCACCGAGAGCATCTGGGTAAAGAGCTTTCCTATGTGATCCGAACGGCCACCTTGAAGCCGCCGCCTCCCCATAACCTCACCATTTACTTTGGCTCAGCTTATGTTGCTCTATCAAGAGAGTTTGCTAACTTTGTTCTCCATGACTCACGGGCTGTTGATTTGCTCCAGTGGTCCAAGGACACTTTCAGTCCGGATGAACATTTCTGGGTGACGCTCAATAGGATTCCAGGTATGTGAGATTTCATGGTTTTTGGGGGTGTCTTTTTTTTTGAGGGGGGGTATGTGCTTCCCACACCCACAGGTTCCATATCGGAGGTTCAACCAAACTCAAATGGAAAAAGTGCATCTTGTCTTACACATGTATAGACTTTCTTCTTGTCATGATTTCCTAAAAAAAATACTCTGACTACTGACAGGACCCAGACATTTTCTTAGCTCTTGTAAGTCATCTAGACATGATACGAAGTATATGAAGAGCATTTGTACAATTATGCACATACGGTAGCATAATACATAATATTTATGTAAGGAACCAGAGCATCTGTGGTTCTTTTACCCAAGGGGGACTCTGGAACTGGAACCAGTCCCCCAGGGATACTGAGGGATGTCGGACTTAAAAAAAAATTAGAACATGAAGATAGATGAAAACTAAAATGTGTAGTACTCACTCTTATCCTTTCTAAATGCAATATCATGTGCTCTATGTGATCACTAAAGTATTCTAACACTAACTTGACCGTTAAAGTATTCTCACACTAACTAGAATACTTCGCTGTGATATCTCTCTTTTAGTTTGCCATGTTCTGTCCTGTGTGTGTGTTTTGCCTCCTGATGAAGTGGACTGACCCCCTGGACAAAGTCATAGATGCTCACCAGTATCTTAAAAAGCTGGAGTTTATTGGATTGACTGGCCGGGGCTGACTCAACTTGGCAGTGAGCAGCCTCGAACGCTAATAGCTCAAGGTTTATAAAGGCAAAAAATACATTCTTTTAGAGTAGATGCAAGCGAGCTGGTCTGGTACACAGAAGCAGAACTTAGCAGTTATTTTGCAAGCGCGTAAATCACAAACATTCCTGAAACAGAACCATAAATACCCCTGTAATAATTTCTTGACCTTTAAGCAACAGGCAATTCGTGGTTTGGGGGCCAGGTGTTTCTACTTTCTAGAAACTAGTAGTTACAGTAAAAGGGGTAGCCTTCTGAGTCACCCCTGGCCTGGAGAGGCCCCATGGCGGACTGTTTTACTACTACTTAACTGAATTCCAGTAACCAGGTGTTTAACTCACTAATTTACTTCAAGCCTTTATCTTTGGAATGTCTCCTTTTAATGACTAGCCTTGAGGGATTTTTCTTTGTTTGTTTGTTTGTTTTCTACAGGGAGATCCTGCCTTTCAAGTTTGGCTCTATTCAAAATCAATAATTTTGTTCTGTATCTAATTTCACATTTTATATTCTTTTGGGGGTCATCACACTGAGACACTAGGATCACAGGCTTTGAGTCACCGTGGCCTGGCCACATGCAGCATCTTACAGAATCGTTGCCACATCAGATGTTTCTGTTCTCAGTCCACACTGGTGCTCTTTCTTCCTAAATTTGTCAGACTTGCTCTTCGCCCAAGATCTTTGCCTGGCTTATCCTTCTGCCCATCTTTGAAGAAGCACAAACCTCTTTTACACCTGTCATATCTCAGAACAGCAGCTCTGACCACCAGAACCATCCCCCTACCAAGTCATGGGCCAGCTTGGGACTTGCATACCATCCTGATTTTTTTTCCCTTCAAAGAGCCTATTGCCATCTCAATAATCATGTTTCCTAATTGCGTGAGGTTTGTTGAAAGCCAGAGTCATTTTCTGTTTTGTTATTTGCATTAGGTGTTATGAGTCAGCTAGAAGTGAAATGCTCAGAATATATAGTACCCGCTCAATAAATACATATTAGGAGGCTATTGAATTCTAAATGAGTGAATGAATCAATGAATGAATGAATGCCAAAGCAAGAAGCTTTCCTATGGCACCGCAGCTACCTTTCTCTAAAACCAACTGAGATAACTGTTAGGTTTATAAAAAAGAGGTAGCCGAGTAAGAACAGCATCATGCACGTGGTATTCAGGTAAGGGGTAGGTTTATTCATCGTTCTGGCTGGCACCAGCCCACGCTGGCCCTCCACGCAGCTGGGACAGGCCTGGGAAAGAGGTGGGAAAGAGCTAGAAAAGAGGGCATCTGGGAAAGAGAGAGTCAGGAAAGGGAGAGAGCTGGGAAAGGAGAGAGAGCTGGGAAAGAGAGAGCTGGGAAAAGATAGCAGCTGGGCCTGGGCCAGGCCTTATCTAGGGTATGGGCGGAGAAAGGTGTGGCCACATCAAATTCAGATGTGACCTCAGTGGATGCAGATGTGACCTCTTCCAGGTGTGCCAGTTGCCTAGGTAACGCAGGTACTGGGCGGAGACTTTGCTGCGAGGAGGGTGGAGTCTGCTTGCCATCCAGTAGTGGACCTTACAATAACTATTTGGACTCAAGCATGTATCTTAGCTGCATATTGTTTTTAGCAGAAACTTATTTTATTTGAGACAAATAATAAGATTCTAGACCTCCTTTCTTTCCCATCAAATTACTGATTTACCAGATGGGTTATTTTTTTTTTTAATATATAAGATACGATAGGTAAGATTTCTTTGGAAGTAAACAATAAGGTTTGGACTCAATAAAAAAAATACAAAATGATCTCTAATGAACTAGACAGCATTATAAAAGCAAGAGAAAAGCAACCATTGTTCTGGTTGTTGGGGGGCTGCCAAGTTGGAAATGCTGGGAAGTGCTCCGGGCTGCAGGGCTGGGCTTGCTGGGCGATAAACATGCCCACCTTCTCTGGAAAATACCAAGTTATGGTTGTGAATCCATGAGGACTTGCCTAGCACATTCTCTGTGTCCTAGCTCCCTTCCTCTCCTCCCCTTGGCCTCGGTCTTTTTACCTTTGACCTGCTGTTCCCTTTGTGATTATATAATTGGGGGAACATTAGATACTTAGAAGCTGATTTCCATATTTAAATATTGCATTCCTTTCTAGTTCCACTATTCCCTTAAAATCGATTAAAGTTTGGTTCTGGCCATAAATGGCCTCAAGTACTCTACTGAGGTGAAGGCATTTTGTAACTCAGTAAATGGGTGGCTTGTGGCTTTAACAGGAAGGAAGGAAGGAAGGAAGGAAGGAAGGAAGGAAGGAAGGAAGGAAGGAAGGAAGGAAGGAAGGAAGGAAAGAATCTAAGTTTGTGGAGGCTAAGGTAAGAGGGATCACAGTATGGGACCAGTCTGGGCAACATACCTAGACCCCATTTTTTTTCTGTTGGTTATGCAAAATAATAATGACAATAAAAAAATTACTATTTTAACTTTTTGTGTGTGCTGGTCCTGGGGCTTAAACTCAAGGCTTGGGTGTGGTCCCTAAGTATTTATGCTCCAGGCTGGTACTACCACTTCGAATCATAGCTCTATTTGCAGCTTTTTGGTGGATAATTGGAGAGAAGAGTTTCATGGACTTTTTTCTGCCTGGGCTGGCCTTGAACTGCGATCCTCAGATCTCAGCCTCCTGAGTAGCTGATGTGAGCCAGTGGCATCTGGCTTCCCATTTCAAAATATATATATTTATAGGTTTGGGGGGTCTCACATACTCTCGCAGCAATAGTCTGATCCCTTCTGTTAGGATCCAGCACCACCATCCCAGGGGACCACGCAGAGGCACCCAGGCACTGGGGAAAGATTATTATAAGGTTTATTACAGGGGCCATATCTCCCCGGGGAGAGGGAACATATAAGGCGTTTGCCCCTGTCCAGGTGGGTAGCTCTGGTGCCAGTCACGGGCAGGTAGGTCTGGGTCTGAGAGAGGGAGGGGCCAGCCATCTGGCGGGAACTATAGGGCAGGTAGGAGCTCAGGTGTGGGTGGAGCTGAGGACCTGAGGTGGGAATAATGTCCTTTAAGTCATGGAAGCTCACAGAACCTCAAATGTTCCCCAGTATGGGAAGAAGGGTTCAGCAGAACGAGGATGAGGATGGTGGACTTTGAGTGTCAGAGGTTTTGACTGCCTGCCAGAGTCACCTGACAAAAGGGGAGGGGCTCCTTCGGCTTCCCGGTTGCTATGGAAACCACAGGTCCTTGAGATCCACCTGTGAAGACATTTCAACGGGTCTAAAATGGAGAGAAGGCAAGGTAGTTTTAGCAAGGATTATTTAAGTGTCACTGAATAAAGGGGGTGGGGGCAATGGAGAACAGAAACATTTCCTGCCCCTAACGCAGGAAATGGGAATGCAGACTCCAAAGGGGGTTCCTAGGCTTTCTGAGCTTGGAGAAAACACAAGGTCAGGTTACCTAGCAACTTCTAATCTGTAGACAATGGTTTGGGGTGGATGAAACGGGTGAGGCCTTACCCCAAACCCTGGTAACCTTCAGGATTTCCTGTTGCCAGAGTTGCCTCCTTCTTTCTGTCAGAGGCCCCTACTGGGAACCTAGCAGCTTCTTAACACATAAAAGGAGAAGGTTCATGAAAACACCCCCCTTGTGGTCTCCTAAGTGTGTCATTTAATATCTAAAAAAAAGGGGAGCCTTGCTTTGGTCTTCTAGTTTTTACTTCCTGATTCTAATGTTGTAGTCTGGCTCTTGTAATGTTTATTAATTAATTTCCATTAATCCTGTCTCCTCATGTATGTCTCCTGCCTCAAGATCAGCTGGAGGGAAGAGGGAGAAAGGAGAGGCTAAGGGAGGTGAAGAGAATGGAAGAATACCAATCAATGTGTCTATCTATGTAGGTATCTCTCTATAAATCAGCTGTCTCTGACTATCATCTATTTCCTGACTCTCATCTATTTCCTATCAGCTATCTATCTATATCTGTCCTAGCTATCCATCTGTGAATAAATGAAGACAGCTTAGTGAAAAGTACTAAATAATATTTGAAAAAGGGTGAAGAGCTAAGGTAATACAGGGAGTGAACTTGTTCAAAGAATACGATGGGCTGGGAAGGTGGCTCAGTGGTAGAGCGCTTGCCTTGCATGCTTGAGGCCCTGGGTTCGATTCCTCAGCACCACATAAGCAAAAACAAAAAAATCCGGAAGTGGTGTTGTGACTCAAGTGGTAGAGCGCTAGCCTTGAGCTGAAGAGCTGAGGGACAGCGCCCAGGCCCAGAATTCAGGCCCCATGACCGGACCCCGCCCCCCCAAAAATACTATGCATCTGTGGAATGATCACAAC